GTGTGTGGAGATTGTCATAAAAAGGCATGTGTTCCATGTCCTTCGTGTTACTCCAAGCAATGTTTTACTTTCTCTGATCGTGCTCATCAAAGAAGAGTGAAGGTGTTAGAAGTTCACTGCATATACCATGCGAAACAGTGTGAGTGGTCTGGCAGGCTGGAAGATTTATCTGCTCATCTTAACTACCGTGAGAAGAAGGAGCTATATAGACGATATGAAGGATGCAGCTACACTGAAATTAGATGTAAGCATGATTCTTGTTTCTCGTGTTATGTGGAGCGGAGGTTGCTAAAAGGTCATGAAGAAAACTGCAAACACCGACCAGCTACATGCACTTATTGTTGCATTGATAAAGGCACTTTTGAGCAAGTGGAGTCCCATCATAAAACTTGTGGTGTTTCCTGTCCCTTGTACGAATAAAGATCACAAGGGCTTCACTATTCAGCAAAAGAAACTTCAGCATCATCTTGATACTGATTGCCCATTCCAACCGATAGATTGCCAGTTTAAGTGGGCTGGGTGCAATACTTTAGTACATTTGGTTAATATGTGTACATACACTGTGTATGTGTGTAATTAGATTAGAAAATGCCACACAAATCTACCAAATACACTCTACTGACCCTCGAACTTGCCAAGAGAACCAGAGAACTTAAAGTAGTGAGATGGCTGAAGGCACTTCCTTTGTAGTATCATGGCCCAAGAATATTATTTTATCTTTTGTGAGGCCACTACCTGAAGATTTGGATGTTTATTCTGAAAAATGTGACAATTTTATGCGAAATCCTCACCAAACATCTGATAGGCTTCATATATGTGAAGAATGTCATAAAAAAGCAAGTGCTAAATCCAATCAACATAGTGCTTTTCCTGATGGTATATATCAAGACAAAATAAAAGCATTGAAAGTTAACTGCATCCACCATGAAAAAGGTTGTAAATGGTCTGGCAAACTGGAGGACTTATCTGCTCATCTTAATAACCTGGCCCAAAGATATGAAGGATGTAGCTACACTGAGATTAGATGCAAGCATGATAATTGTGGCTTGTTTTATGAATGGGGCAAGTTAAAGGACCATGAAGACAATTGCAAGCTTCAACCAGCTACGTGTGACTTTTGTCATAATTTTGGAAACACTTTAGAGGAAGTTGAGGGTTACCAGAAAATAACTCGTCCAAAGTTTCTCGTGCCTTGTACAAATGAAGATCACCAAGATTTCACTGTTCAGCGAGAGAATCTTCAGCATCATCTTGACACTGATTGCCCATTCCAACCGATAGATTGCCAGTTTAAGTGGGGCAGGTGCAATGATAGGCCAAAGCATAAAGATGAGGACCAGCACAATGCTACCAGCCAGCAGGACCACTTACTGCTGCTAGCTGGGACTTGCTTTTAGTTGAAAAAGGAAAACAACGAATTAAAGAAAAAATTGGAAAAGGAAAACAAAGGTTTAAGGAAGCAACTCAATGAGGCCAATCAAAAGCTGAATCGTATTGCTCAAACTACTCAAGCACATGCAAGTAGTGTAGAGAGGCTTAATTATACTGTATTTGGTAACCTTCCAGTTACTGGTGATGAAAACGATCCTGTTTGTGTAAAGCGGATGGTCAGTCAGTTTTCTTCTTCTCTGATGATCGCAGATACAAAATGACAGTGAAGTTTGGCAATATTGGATTTTTAACATTCGATAATATAGAATTTTGCGTATTTCGAAGTAGTCATAAAGTAATACTCGGCATCACAAAAATTGTCATAAGAAGTGATAAACATGATGAACCAATTGTACTTCGTAGAACTTCTCTTGTTAAGAAAGCTAGTGATTATCAAAATATGTATTATGCTCGTATTTCTGGAAGATATAATGTAGATGATATTATTTGTATTATTAAGGTTTCTTGACTTTGCGATATTTAGTAATGCTATTTTATTATATGATTTCAGACAATATTATAAACGATTAGCCAACAATTAGTGAGTCTATTGATGAAAAGCAACACTACTAGTCTAACTCAAGAAGAACTCCTCATGTCTTTGGGGGAGGGGCAGGGGGAAGTCTCTAACTAATATTCTAATAATGGTCGTCGTAAGATACTCTCTCTTCTTAATCTCATGGATGTATTGTTGTTGGCCACGCCCACTTTAAAGTTGCAGTATTTTGACGAGGGACGTACTGAGGAGGTGGTGAGATATTGTGAGAGGGAGGAAGGGGGTGTGGCTTATATTGATGTAAAGACTCTTCATAACTCATTGATTAATGAGTTAAGTGGATTGCAAGGAGCAGCTGCTCTCTCACAGAAACCATATTATTCGATACTAGACAAATGTAAAACATTAACATGTGGCCTAAGCAAGCAAAGCAATGTACATACAACAGATCTTGACAGACTAACAATACTCATGCATGATCATTTATTGTGCAACTAAGCAGGCTCAAAACTTGATAGATGCATACTTCTTGATCTACCTTTTTAATCTCTGCAGCAATTAAAATTACCCTACTCATAGCGTTTAGCAAACATTAAAGAAGATAGATAGAAGCAGTCACTGCACAAATGATATAGCTCATATGGCTAGATAGGCAACTGCAGCAATGTAGTTTTTGGCTTCTTGCATGCTCCAAGATAGTTCAAGTTGTGACTGAAGCCTTGATCAGAGGAGTTATTCACATTGATAAAGAACATGGCACATTTGCTTTCTTAACCTTCCTTGTACACCCTTTCTCAAAGAAGATTATTAAGGTTATTAAAAAGTGGAAATTTTTATATAGATAAATAGGGGTGGTGTATGTGTACAAGCATACTGGTGTTGTTTATGTAGGGCTCACTCAGGCTTGAGGCTTGCCCCTTTTAGTGGTTCTGCCAAATATAACCTAATTATCAGTTATTGAATTTTTTAAAGATTAATTATAGTTATTCATGTAAGTTAGTAAAGTTACAGCCTACAAAGTTAATAAGATATAAAGTATACTGCCAAGAAAATCCATTGCCACAGACTCTTTATAGTGTAGACTGTATCTCAAGAGAAGCAGAAAAAGTCTTGCAATGGCTGGAACCAGCTCTTTTGTAATATCATGGCCCAAGAATATCAAGTTATCTTTTGTTAAGCCACTGCCTGAGGATTTAGATATTTATTGTAGCAAATGTCGACTTTTTATGCAAAATCCTCACCAAACCTCCTGTTGTGGCATACACTTATGTGAAGATTGTCATAAAATGGCAAATGCTAAATTGTACAGGCATACATCTAAATGTCCTTCTTGTTCCTCATCTCAATATAATGCTTTCCCTGATCGGGCTCATCGAAGAAGAATAAAGGCATTAGAAGTTCACTGCATACACTGTGTGAAACAGTGCAGTTGGTCTGGCAAGCTGGAAGAGTTATCTGCTCATCTTAATTACCGTGAGAAGAAAGACCTGTATAGACGATATGAAGGATGTAGCTACACTGAAATTAGATGCAAGCATGATTCTTGTTTCTCATTTTTTTATCATGAACGTAGACTGTTAAAAGCTCATGAAGATAACTGCAAACATCGACCAGCTACATGCGCTTATTGTTATATTTTTAAAGGCACTTTTGAGAAAGTAGAAGATCATCATAAAACTTGTGGTATGTTTCCTGTCCCTTGTACAAATAAAGATCACCAAGATTTCACCATTCGGCGAAAGAATCTTCAGCATCATCTTGACACTGATTGCCCATTCCAACCGATAGATTGCCAGTTTAAGTGGGCTGGGTGCAATGATAGGCCAAAGCGTAAAGATGAACGCCAGCACAATGCTGCCAGCCTACAGGACCACTTACTACTGCTAGCTGGGGCTTGCTCACAATTGAAAAAAGATAATGAAGACTTAAGGGAACAATTGAATCAACTTACTAAAGCTAGAGTGGAGAAGCTTGATCATACTGTACATGGTGACCTTCCAGTTACTGGTGATGAAAACAATCCTGTTCATGTGAAAGCAGATGGTCAGCCAGTTCCTTTTTTCTCTGATAATTATAAGTACAAAATGTCAGTGAAGTTTGGCAAAGTCAGAAGTGCTACACATTTTTTTACATCTTATAATATTGAGTTTAAAGTGTATAGAGGCAATCATAAAGTGATACCTGACGTTAAGAGAATTGTGATTAAGAGTGACAGAGGTAAACAAGTTGTACTTAGGGAAGGTGATCTAGTGAAGGATCCCAGTAAAGATAATGAAAAGCAAAGGATACATGCTACTATTCCCGACATATATAGAGAAGTTATATACATCATCAAAGTTTCTTGATTTAAAAAAAAAATTTTGCTTCATTTAGTGAAGTCATTAGCTAACATTTAGTTTTGTATTATGTTTTGTTTTGTAATGCATCATGACTTTGAAGCTATTTTATGGCTTGGTTTGGTAAAGCTTTTTAGCATTAGTTTTGTTATATCTTTCATTTACTAGCTGTTTAAATTAATATTGAGCACACTGCATATGTAAATGCCTGTTGCATGTAGGCTATAAGCATATGTTGCTTTGATATTTTGTGTGTTTTATAGGAAATACACAATATATTGGAAGTTATTGTGAGAAGGAATAATATTAATGAGATATCTCATTCACGTCAGCTCTACATTGAGTCATGGCAGCAGGTGGTGGAGGTATTGATGAGTGTTGTCAATGAGGAGGGAGAGAAAGAATCACTGAGGATTGATGTGCTTTTTGAATTAATTCAAGATTTACTGTTAAAGGTAGAGGAGAGAGAGAGAGAGAGATTAGAGAGTGTATTCAGTAATATAGAAAAGATAAATGTGCTTATTTATGTATATAGCTACTATTGTTAAATATTTTAATGCTGTTTTATTTGTGTATTCATTGCAGGTTGAAGGGACTGAACCCAATTCCCTAACTGCCATTATATTTTCAGTGATATTCACACTAATGGCTTATCTCCGTCACACTCTATCAGTATCATCAGAGAGAGAACAAGAGCAAGGTAATGCTGTTCATCTAGCCAATGCTGGTCCATTGCAGTCTATACTGAGGAGACTGTTGAACAACCTCTTGGTCTGCCCTTCAGGAATGCAACGACTTCGTTCCTACCTTTACGCTACTCTTCTCTGCTACCTCAACATGACTAAAGAGAGGGAGACAGAACTGGGAAGCTACCGTGGTAATAATGATAAACCAACATTTGTAATACATATAGACTTATTTAGTACCGTATAGCCGGAAAATTTGGCGGTCTGAAACTTTGGCAGTTTTGCATCAAAACTGTCTAAATATAATATTGGCGGTCATTTAATTTGGCGGTTGACTGTCTTGTGTTTTCTTTAAGCACACTCAGCTCTTCTTGAAGCTGCTCCTTGGCAGTCCTTGCCCACAGTATTGACTCTGTGA